ATTTCTCCTCAAAATACAACACTTGCACCTGCAAACTTTTTTTACATGTGCTCAGTTTTTTTTTTACGTGCGCTCAGAATAGTGGCACAAAAATAACACCATAAAATGGCAGATTATAAACAAACAGTTACACTGGTCTTGACATTGTTGACGTTTGGATGAATCATTGGTTTACAAGAAAAAAAAAAAACGGTTGGAAGAAAAAAAGAGCGCATAAAACGCATGAAGATAGTGTCATTTTGAGCAAGTATCATGAGACAAAAACACATATGATCAGAAACCACAATACAGAATTGCCAACAAACAAATGAGAGCAAATGATTAATACTTCAAACAACAAATTTTTTCTCCAAACAACCAGGAAAACATCAAAACTATGGCTGTTTCTCGCAGGACATCATGCACAAATTGCTTGATAGTAGTCCCCCATATTGGACGTGAGACAACTACTGTACATGTCGCGCTGGGGGTCGGGGTTGTATTCTTTGACTGGCTGGTGAGGTGAAATCAGTCAGAAAGAGGCTGCTTCACCAAAAACCTCTTTGTGATTGCATTGTTCCCTATCAGATAGCAGTGGCTGCCTGTAGCTTGCATGGACGATGCCGACTTGTCTTCAGATGCTTGCTAACTACTCAAGTGAAATTTATTTGCATAGCCCTGTTCAGACACCAGAATGCTTTACAGAGGGACATTTAAAACTTTTAAACATATCACCTTATGACACGTGTACAGTCGATCCTAGGAATGTAAACCTAATATTGTCACATGTCCAAAATGGTAAACAATTTAATGTCAAATGGTTAGCAGTCATGTGACTGCAAAACATCAATAGGTACGAATCTATCAATGAATTATTTGGTCTACATCAGTGGTGGGGAACTCCAGACCTCAAGGGCCGGTGTCATGCAGGTTTTAGATGTGTCCCTGATCCGACACAGCTGAGTTAAATGGCTTGAAGTTCTCCAGAGCTCTGGTACTGAACCAATCATTGGATTCAGGATGATATCTAAATATCTACCAGGAGTGGGGAACGCCAGGCCTTGAGGCCCAGAGTTGCCCACCCCTGCTCTACATGAATTGCTTGTGGAAGCAGTGACCTGTGACTGGTATTTAAAAAAACAAAATCAAAAGTAGGCAGGACAGGAAAATATTTATAAAAACCAAAAAAGGGGGTAAAAAGCCTGGGTCAGGCAATGAATAGAACCTACCATAAAGTCTGTATCATAGCAGTCTGTACTGTCAAAGTCCCATGCATGCAAAAGTGACTGACTTGATTTTGGAGTCTGGAGCTCCTGGACTGAGCCCACCTTGCTTGCATTATTACCCCTAAGTGTTCATCTCTCCTCGAATAACTACTAGAACAGTCACTTAAAAGTCTCAGGTCAGCTGAAACATTTGAATAACTTCAAATATCAAGTGAACATAGAACACCAAGTTAAAACATCAAAAGATACATTAGAAAAAATTAAATAAAATCAGTGACACAGCACTTTTTGCTGTTTCTTTGTTTTTAGAAGCACATGCTGAGATTTTTAATTAATCTCTAGAATCTTTGCAAAACTCTCATGTGTTAATTTCCATCGTGAAACCATAAACCCAACTGCAACAATGGCGGGTAAAAGATATGCTTATCTTCACACATTCAACAATCTGTGGCTCACCCTCCGATCCGGATCTAAATCTGGAGCTCTCAACAAGCTAACAGTCCTCAAAAAAA